CCCATGCTGGAAAGCCGGGCTGAGGGGCTGCCCCCCACGGGAGCAGGGTCACCCACGAAGAAAACCAAAGGAGTGACCACAGAGACGGCCGCCCCACGCGCCACCCCTTCCCGGAGCCCCGTCGCACAGACCACCCCCAGGCTGCGGGCCGCCAACTTCAAGGCTGAGCCCAAGTGGGACTTTGAGGAACAATACAGCTTGGACGTGGGGGGCTTGCAGACGGTGAGTTTTGCCACGACCCTGCCCTCTGCCTCCGGCTCCGACGCCCCTCCTGGCACTCAGCCCATCCCCCTCCCTCACCTCCCAGGCTCCACTCCTAGGCTCTGCCTGGTCCCATCCCCGGGGTCGCCCCATCCTTCCTTCCTATCCCACCGCAATCGGGGGGGAGGAGGCCGGCCCCAGAATCCTGGCCGGGAGGCACGGGAAGGTGTGCGCAAGGAGCCCCCCGAGGCTCCGGACAGTCAGTGCCTGGTTGTGTGTGTGCTTCGTAGCAACTCCACCAGCCGCTGGATTCAAAGTGCAGGGAGCGGCTCCACAGAGGCTGTCGATCGGGTGGCCGAGTGCAACCCGCTCTGGGGTTTGACCCCCTCCCCGTCCTCCGGTGGGTCGGAGGCTGGGGGCAGGGACTAACAGACAAGGAGACCCAACTTGGTGGCGGCCGGCGTGGCTCAGCGGTTGAGCTTTGACCCATGAACCAGGAGGTCACGGTTCAATTCCCGTCAAGGGCACAGGCCCGGGTTGCGGGCTTGATCCCCAGTAGGGGGCGTGCAGGAGGCAGCTGGTCAATGATTCTCTCTCATCATTGATGTTTCTCTCTCTCCCTCTCCCGTCCTCTCTGAGATCAGTTATATATACTATATGTATATGTACATATAAAAGAATGCCCAACCTGGTGCCCAGTGCTAGCGCCTGGGAATACCTTGTCTTCTGCACAGAGTGGTCCCACCACCTCCCCTCTCTTCCATCCCTGAGAAAACACCACGGGAGAGCCACACTGAAAACGTACTCGTACACATAGTTGCAACCATGCCAGGGCAGCACACGGACCACCCCGTCCCGGGCGGTCCCATTTCTCCGGCTCTGACAAAGGTGCATTGGCCTTGAGGGCCAAGGACACCTGTCCTCGGGGAAGCCTCGGGAAGCGGCAGGCCGGCCGCCAACAGGAGGGACGAGGCAGCGAAAGCGGTGCCTTCCCAACTTGG